CATCACTTTTATTTGGATTAAACATCTTTTTTGCATTAGGTTGAGAACTTATCTCTCTAATATGAACACAAAAGTTTTCCTTTACTACATATACAATTATATTAGTGTTACTATTATACACCATACCTACCTCATAAGTGGAGATATTACAATTACAATGAAATGCTAATATTATCAAGACTTTTCGAACATCAAAGTTGAAAAATCTAATAAGTAGTACATCATATACATATTATTATAATACGTAGTTTTTAAATGCTAAGAAGTTCACCTTGCTACGAAAATAATATGCATATAAAACAATTAAACACTCTTTGAAATATAATGGAGAAAAAATATATAGTGCATATATGATACAAATTTGAAAAAATAGTTAATTCCAAACTTGAAAATTTTCCTAAAAAAATTTTTCTAAAGGAAGCGAAACATCTGAAATCTTACTATTTTATTTAGTTTACGTACAAGTTCTTCCAATAAAAAGTTTTATGGTCTTGTACTATTTTTTTTTCATTATCACATATCAAAATTTTCAAAGAGAAAACTTTGTAGCATTGTATCACTCTCGTTTATAAGCTTTTCCCAATAAATAAAATTTTGATGTTGTGATCTCTTGAGTTTCTTCTATCACTCTTCTAAAAAGAGAAAATTTCATGCTACTCTCATATGCAAGTTTTTCTTGAAATGAAGTTGATTGATATATTATTTCTACTACTACATTACCTTATATATAAGTATTTCAACAAAAAATTGACAATTAAAGTCTTTTTTATTACTTTCTTATTGTTACTACTTCACTTTTATATAAAAATTCTTCCAACAAAAATCAATAGACAACTGAAATCTCTTGCATACTTTTTATTGTGAAAAACTTTTTGTGCAACAGTTCAAAAAACATTATCATTATCCAAAAAATGTTTGTTACCTAGCATTATTAAAATAAAAAATTCAACATGCTACTTCAAAAGTCACTTCTTATGCACTCTCTGAAATGTATTTTAGAAAAAATTATGATGAACTTGCAAATTTTCTTGTAAGAACTCCTTGTATATTGTTTCAAGAAGTGTTTCCCAGCATTCAAAAAAAATATTTTTCTTTAAAAAGTATTCCTTAAACACACTTTTAAAAAATGTTTCCCATGAAGAATTTTCCATTCATCATTCTTTTAAAAGTGATTCTCATACATTACACTATGAAACTCTTCTCATTATTAAAAAAAAAAAAAAAAAAAAACTCAAACTACTAGCATATTATTTTAAGAAATGATTCATGAGCAGAACTATTCTTAAAAAAAGAAAAAAAGTGATTCGATTTGTCAATGCCTTTTAACTATCTTTTTTTTAAAAAAATTGATGTTTATTGCTTATTCTCCTAAACAATACTTGATTTATTTTACAATATTTGTTCTCCAATTCTTTTAGAGAAGTATTTTCATGACTTTTTTTTTTTAGGAAAATATTTCCATTACTTGTTTTACTATTTTTAGGAAAATATCCATTTTACTTGTTCTCCTAAGTAAATATTCTCATTACTTAGTCTTTTATTTTTAAAAGAAACATTCTATGAATTGTTCTCCTATTTTTTAAGAAAATATCTTTATTACTTATTCTATTATTTTTAGGAAAACATCTTCGTTACTTATTTTATCATTTTTTAGGGACAAACTTTCATTATTTATTCTCTTATTTTCTTATGGGAAACATCAATTACTTGTTCTTTTATTTTTTAGAAAAATACTTTCATTACTTGTTCTCTTATTTTTTTAGGAAAACTCTCACATTACTTGTTCTCTTATTTTTTAGGAAAACACTCTCATTGTTTTTTTTTTTTTTTTCAAAAAATATTTATATTACTTGTTCTCTTATTTTTTCAGAAAAACACTTTCATTTTTTGTTTTTCTATTTTTTAAGGAAATACTCCATTACCCAATCCTTTTAATAATTTCTCTATTTTTTAGGGAAACACTCTCTTACTTATTCTTTGTAATAATTTTCCTATTTTTTTAGGAAAATACTCCATTATGTATCTATTCCTTTTAATATTTTTTTTATTTTTTAGAGAAATGCTCCCTTACCTATTTTTTTTAATATTTCTTTTTTTTTTAGGAAATACTTTCTTACCTATTCTTTTTAATAATTTTTCTATTTTTTAGGTAACATACCCATTACCTATTCCCTTTAATTGCTTCTTTTTTTTTTGACAAAAACTTTCATTACTTGTTCTATTTTTTTTTTTAAACATTTTTATTACTTATTCTCTTTTTTTTTTTAAACAAGAAAGGCGTCCGCTATTTGTTCACCCATTTTCTCTATGAAAATACTTTCATTACTTGTTCCTTTTTTTTAAAGAAACACACATTTATACATTACTTGTTTAACAGGTAACTTTTATATTTACAACATTAAAATTTGCTTATTCTATGCATGAAACATTACTTTTTCATTATACTAGTGCATGAGAACTTTTTATTTTTCATGCAAGGCGTAGTGAATCCACACATATATAGTTACAAAATATATATAATTTTTTTTCACATATATATATATATATTACTTTTACTCTTTCATTATACTAGTGCATGAGAACTTTTTATACTAAGAATTCTCATGCAGAGGGCAAAATGTAGATACTTGATTTTGGTTGCTAATATTTTATTTTTTTAAATTTCTCCAAAGTTGTTAAAATTGAGAATAAGTTAAAATAAGTAATAAAACTGTTTCAATGAATGTTATTTTATGGAACAGGTGATAAAACTGTTTCAATAAATGTTATTTTATGGAATAACCTTTCTTATAGAATAATTGTTTGTAAAACAACTATTCAAGAAACAACTCTTTGTGGAATAACACCTTCATGGAACAACGATTCTCAAAATAACTTCCTTAAAGAACAAGACTAACACCTTTACTAAAAATTTTTGAAACACAAGTTGTTTCACTAAAAGTTATTTCACAAAAGGCATTTCATCGAATGTTACTTTACCAAAAGAAAAAGTGAAAATAACCCCAAAATATGACAGGATTTTTGGGTTAATTCTACTATTGAGATGTTTTAAAGAGCTTGGCTTGGTAAATTAGATATGGAGATAGTTAAGAGGTTTTCTCTTAATCTTTGCCTAAAATATGAGTGTTTTTCCCTTTCTTTTAGAACAAATAGTGAACTTCTATATTCACTATACTTACTAGCAAAAAGCTTATTAAACTTTCATTAATATGGAATAACCCTTTACTAAAAATTTTTGAAACACAAGTTGTTTCACTAAAAGTTATTTCACAAAAGACACTTCATCGAATGTTACTTTACCAAAAGAAGAAGTGAAAATAACTCCAAAATATGATAGGATTTTTGGGTTAATTCTACTATTGGGATGTTCTAAAGAGCTTGGCTTGGTAAATTAGATATGGAGATAGTTAAGAGGTTTTCTCTAAACCTTTGCCTAAAATATGAGTGTTTTTCCCTTTCTTTTAGAACAAATAGTGAACTTCTATATTCACTATACTTATTAGCAAAAAGCTTATTAAACTCTCATTAAACAATACATTGATACATTTTATAACAGTCAATTCTCCCATTACTCATTATTATTTTTATTCAATACTCAAGATATGTAACTCCCATTCTTGAAACTTATAAATAAGAGTTTTCACAATTCATAAAGGATGAGAAGAGACTTTTTGGAGACTCTGACAGATTTCTCACAACTTTCTCTCAAACTTAGTATAATCCTCTCTTCCTAAATTCTTCTTTGAGCTTTATTCTCTTCTTTACTTAGCCTTACTTTACCATCTGTCACTACACTCAATACTTCAGGGTCTACTTCAATTTTCCTTTTCGTTGCCTTCCGGCACGTCCTGTTTTACGTGTTTACAACACTACCATATCTCAATAAAGAACCCGTTTACAATTATTATGGATAAAAATGCATCAAATCATTTTGAGCAAATCAAAGATATTGATCATCTAAATTTGCAATAGATATCTCACCTTTTCTAAATCTGTTATAAACCTAATCCTTTTTTTTTTTCTTTCTTCGTTCCCAGCAAGTCTACTATATATATATTTTTTTTATGTTTGATGTTACAAGGATTTAAATTCTAGTCACTTAAACTAGAAGTTCCACTTTTTGTCAATGTTATAGTTCCCACCAAGACTCATACTTTTTTATTTCTTTTTGATGTTGCAAGAATTTAAACTTGGATGATTGAACCTAAAAGTTTCACACTCTACAAACAATCTGGTAGCTGTTATATACGTGGACAAATGATTGGGCAGACCAAAGCTCTGAATTAATTGTTCAACCTGATCTTTCCATAGCAAATAATTCTTTTGAGTGAACCAGTTGCATCATATGAAAGAACAGTGACATTGAGAGTTGAATTTTATGCCATAATCTGTGAAACGGATAGGCTGCTTCAATCTCTGCGCTATGTTTTTTCCGAGAAATGGATAGACACAAGGAAAATGAATCAAGGAATTTGGTAGCAGGTCAAAGTACGGAACCAAAACAATAGAGCAGCAGCATGAAAACCCCAGGCCACTAGAATATAGAGTATATTGCCAAGGAAGATATCTAATTGCAAAATTCAGTTTTTTGGGTTTGTATGACTTGGCATGTGCAATATCTTGTTAAGGTAAATACGCACGTAAACCCCAAAAAATCGTCACTCCAAAGGAGCCTTACAAGTAACAAGACATTCTACATTGGGATCAAGAATCCTGGGCCCGCTGAGATCAAAGTATTTTTTGGGTACATAGGAGGGGAATATCAAACTCAGAATGAGCGCATCAAGAAAAAAGGTTTAAGTTACAATACATTCTTTGAGAGCAAAACCGGGGAAAATATCTTTAGAGTGGATTGAAATTTGAATATGTTAAGAAGATACATACAATCCTGTAACAAGAACATCTGTTTTAATGGGAGATGCTCATTTCAAGAGAGTATTGTTCAAGTGAATATTAGAAAAGGCTTGGGTTTCATACAACCGCCTTTAGGAAATGACATCAAACAAGTGAGATTTAAAACCCAACACTTTTAATCGTTTGATTTATTTCTAAGCTGTAATCTCCTTTATACAAAAAAAAAAAAAAAACTCTTTCTAAGTTTTCGTAACTTTCAGAGCATTTATGATCTGGAAACCCGACAATGGAAACTTGTCATTGCTCATCACGTTGTACTTGTATGTAACTTCTGATTATACAAACAAAATAAAAATAAAAGACCAAATGGTTTGATTGATCACTCTTAAGTTCCCAAAAAGTGACCGTATGAGCAAGCATGAAATATCTGAATCACATAATATATATATATATATATATATATATATAGATATTCAATCCTTCCTACTTGAAATGCCATCATCAAACTCCAGGCATTTTACTTGAGTTGTTATTTGCTTTCTTTTTCACAGGTTATCCTCAACATTTGGTCAGCTCCAAATCACATTGCAAGACCTAAACAGTGACAAGAAATTTGAAATGAAGAACATCAGATTAAGAAACTAAGCCAGAGTAAAGACATTTGAAATCAAATTGACAGCAAAAAAATAAATTAAAAAAAACTGTTATATTTAATCAATAAATTGGCAAAACCAACCTAAGTTTAAGTATATCACTCAACTTCCTTTTGAACCAGAGGCCTATGAGGTTTAGGAGCTGAAAGAGAACAAAAATTAAAATGATGAAATAATAAGATTGCAAGAAAAAAGGAATGCTAAAGCAAAAGTCCAAACTCTTGCTATGCTAACAGATATCTGTATAATATATAGACAAATGCAACGAAATGAGAAACCATCAGATAAAAATGAGAAGATATTATGCCTTCGTAACTGAAGCTGAGATCAATCACACTGCAAAAATGCCTTACAGAAATACACTGTATAGTTATAGTGTAATCTTGCCCTTTGTGTAGCATAATTATGAGTGCGCTAACTCTTGATTCTTTTATATATGATTTGACCAACACGATCCCTTTAAGAATATTTAACATAATTTTACCCAACTTCAAAACGTTTCCACCTGCCTGCATTTTTAACAGATTTAGGAGTAGTATTTTACTTGGATATGAATTAAAGCAATATGCATGACAGTGTCCAAGTTTGGATCAATCCCTAGTTTCTACTTCCTAGATAACAGCTTCTCATACTGTTACGGGATGTTGACACTCAGGGCAATGCTGCAATGTTTGTCCATTTGAATGACATGAAGGTAGACTTTTCTTGCTATCAAAAGCAAGTCTAAATGTATACAGATATCTATTTGCCTTAATAGACAAGAATCTATAATTTCTCCGATCCAGTGAGGCAGAGCTTAAGTCATGACGAAATTACATACCATTAGGATTCCCCTGTTCATAGAAAGTTCGGAAAAGAGAGACTGCTTCTGAGGTCATCAATCCCCCCGTACATTTGAAACCTTTTCTTTGTGGAACTTCACCACTAAGAAACAAAGAAAAATAGAAGATAAGACATTCATTTGAATTGCAGAATGTTTCAATAAATTGAACAGGATGAATGTAGAAAGAATGAAATTTCAGCATTAGGGAAAAAAACTATAAAATCTAAGTCTAATGAAGACACAATATGAGCACATTACCAAGAAATATGGCAGTAAGAAGGATGGTATTCCCTTTCACACATTATTTGAGATGATATGGTATGCATAGAAGCACTTTCTTTTTGTTCCTTATCTTTTCGAAAAACCATAATAGGCTATAAGCTAACCATAATTCTTTTTAAGAAAAAAAAAAAAATTTCGAATCTGGTCACCGAGTAAAGTGGAGCCACGAATATGTACAATTTAATTTCAATAAAAAGCATGCAACAGGCAAGGGACAGTAACCAATCAACCATAAGATTGAGACAGCAACTTTTTGCAATCAAAAAGTTGTTACAAATTTTTCTAATGAATTTGCATAGAATTAATTGAAAATTACATAAATGTTCTGAATTTTCATTTGTGGTGAACATAACCATCCTTGAGGCAACTACTTCTGCAGCAGCATTCAAGATATACAGGAAAGGGGAAATATTGCCTTCACTTCTTCACCAACATTATACGAAGTATATGAAGACAACAACAGACAAAGTGACGGCAGAGGAAGCCAAAAAGCAGTACACTACAACGGATTAGTGATGCAAAGGCTGGAGATAACATTGGTAAAACAATTTTTTTCAACAGAGAAGATGAAGTCTTCTGCTTAGAGGGTAGGAAGATTGAAAGAGAGGTGGTGGAATTGGAAAGGAGGTACAAAAAGGAAGAAAAACAATGGAAACATTAAGGAGGATAGTCTTACTTTTCACCATTGTTTATGTCGGTAATAGAATGGCAATAATACAATGAATTTTCAAGGAAAAGCTTGAAAACAGAATAGTATTTGAGTGCTAATACGATAATACCTAAGAAACTGACATCAACGCAAAGACCCTGAAAAAATAAAAAAGGATAAAACATGGAAACATGTTGTGTTTGGTTGCTAAAACAATTTCTACTTTCTAATTTCTTAAAATGCATGTAGCAAATGGAAATAAAACTCTTTTCTCAAAAAGAAAAGAGGAAGTACATTTGAAATTACTATTTTCTCATCAAAAAAGAAAAAAAAAAAAAAGTTACTACAACTGATGCACAATGCCACTAAATATAACTAACAAATTAAATGGTTTGGTTCATTTGTTTGGTATAAATACAACAGATGCAGATAGGACAAGGATTCTGCTTGTAAATTTTCCATCCTTATAACTGCATGAATATTGATTTTTTCCTTTAGAAAGAAAACAAAGGGAATATTTCACATGGAATAGAATGTATGCTTACCACATTCGCAGCAATATAAAATAATAAGTTGAAACTCAGTTTAATGAGGACAAAGAAGAAGCAAAAGTGATGAAAAAAAACACAAGTAAACATTTGCATGCAAGAATGAGGTCCAAAACAGACCTGATGAGTGTCTCAGAGTAACTTGAATGCAAGGATAAAATTGATCCACACCCTCCAAATTTCTCATTCGCACAACCATAATATACCTCCTTTATTCCTAGATAAGAAATACTCAGTCAAGAACCAAGCTAATGAAGAGTAATAAAATTAAAAAAATCCATAATAATATTGCTACATTCAAGTATTGTTATTGGAAGAGAAGGATACCAAGAATTGACAAAGCTGCAGCACACATTATGCATGGTTCACACGTAACATACAAAATACATTTTGAAAAGTTTTCTGCAACTTCTGATTTTGAAAGTCCATCTCTCTGCCACTTCTCCATAAGAATGTCTATGGCTTCCATTTCTGCATGTCTTGTTGCCTGCACCATGAAAAATGAAGAAGAAACTCATTTAATTTACTTGAGCTGACAAAGATGAACTTTGAACTAATAGTCCACTGACATACAACTATTGAATTACAGCTGAAGTCTAGACATAACAAAAGTATGATAATATTAGTGATCAAAAGAACCTTGCAACCTGTGGCCTAAATTGGACAAAATAACTACCATTATATGCACCACCTGCAAGATAAATGTGGGGCGGGGATTCATATAATTTATTTCCCTCATAGGAGGAAACTCATAAAGCCAAAACAATAAACATGGAGCTAATGATCGTGGTAAAATGATTATGGAAAAGAAGGAATTAAAATTCAGCTAGCCATTGAAAAGAGAGAAAAAAGAACAAGAGACGGAGGAAAAAAAGAAGGCATGTTTATCTTGCTTGTTGAAGCTTAGATTCCAAAAGGGAGCAAATAAATTCAGTTTGGCTCTCTGTAGACTGCCACAACATCCATGATACAGAATACGGAAGTCAAACATAAAAAGACAAGAAAGATATTCCATTGTTACTATTTCAAAATTCAAATGTCAAATGATATTTGAGCATATTGTATATTTTTGGGACCAACATAAGCATCCTACAGAAAGATGAACATGCTAAAGATGCTAATGTAACCGCAATGCAACACAAATATATAGCTTTTGACTGGAAAAGATTAGATCATTTTCCATTTTCCATCTCTGTAGATCACCTACTTACGCATGCGGAGGGCAAAACAGTGAAAGATAAACAGACCAGGGCATTTTCCTTAGTTAGACTTGGCTAAGACTTTTAACTTGCTTATGAAAACTCTAATTTATTTCAAGCAATAGTTAATCATTTGTACACCTTTATATCAATTTGTCCACAAGAACAATGAAGATCATTGAAATGTTCTTCAGTTTATGACCAAATTGATAAGTTATATGGCCAATAACAACCAACAGAGTATTGTTACAGCTGGATGATGAGCATATGAAGGTCAAGCTGCAAGAAAATCTTACACAAGTAAATGTTTCTCAAAAACATGCATGCACACAAAGACACTTTTCTATGTACTATATATCTTCATTGAGATATGTACAGCCAACATGATACAAAGAGACACTATGTGAAAAAGTGGAAGAAAAAAAAAGAGGAGGGAAGCAGGAAATTTATTTACATTACGTGTCTCGGTGGTTCGATTTCTCCCCGAGGCAATGACCTTGCCATCCTTGATAAATACACAGCTGATAAATAAAAAGTATAGTTTAGTGAAAAAATTTGCATTGAAATTTGGTACCAGGACTACAGTTCCTCATCTCAAAATCATTTTGAGCCTTCATAAATCCTAACAGTGTTAACTAAATACACTATAATCAAGCTTATAGCATGAAGTTAGGTGAATGTTCAACTCAACCTATAAAATTATAAAGATGTTCTTACTTTGGTCAACATTCATCTCAAATAAGCATCAGACCTTTTTCATGATTCAAGGAAAACTAGAATAGTTTCATTATCATTCAGGAGAGTACAAGATTATAGCAGAAGAGAAGAACAAACATACATTTTGGGAAAGCATGATTTCAAACATTAGGAATATATATTCAAAACATTTAGTTATAAATTCTTATACCAACATTCAGTAATAAAATAGAAATTAGAATCCAAACTCAAAATTTCATCCAACAGAAGGAAAACAAAGCCGATGAGATTAAAACTTACCCAACAGGCACTTCAAGGCTTTCCAAAGCAAGTTTTGCCTGAAAAAATATATCAAAAAAGGTTGAATTACAACCTTAGCTTTGTGGAAGGGGAGAGGAAAAGTTGGGTTTGGAATTACCTGGTGAATTGCAAGTTCCATATAAGCAAGACTATCACTTTCCATCCTAAGTCACGAAGAAAATTGGGGCTTAAAAAAAGTTGGAACTTGGAAGAGGGAAGAAGGAAAGAGAAGGCCCAAGGCTGAGACTTTTATTTTTATACTAGTTCACCCGTGCTTCACCGCAGAAAGTTAGCTGTGTGTGAAAGAAAGAAATATAATAAAATTTTAGTCCATACCATTTACATGGTTATTCAGTTGTTACAAAAGCTATGATGCAAAGCAGGTTGTTACAAAAAGCTATGAATTTAAACTCGCCAGAAGCAGAATGGGTTTTCAATTTGCGAGTGGGAAAAGCTATGATGCAGCCTAATTAAAGAGTTGAATTTGGGTTACAGCGAACTCTGGATGTTATTGTTACTAGTCAGACTTAGATTCTCCATGTAATGGGCTGCTTTTATTGGATCATATTAGAAAGTTGGATTAGGTCCTCTAGACACTTAACTCAAGTACTAAGAATGAACTCATGAAGTGTTTATTGCATCAAGCATTTGATTTAATATTAGAGCATTATGTGATATTTAAGGAACAAAAAGAAAACAAAAAATGAAATGCGGGTGAATATGATCGATTCTCTCTTATATCAATAAAATAAATAAACCACAATTCTACAAATTATAGTGAATCACTTAAAGATAATACTTATTAAATAAAATGAAAGATAATATTTGCAGATACAAATTATAGTGAACCACAAAAGTTCCAACTCAAATTAGTAATCTTCCTAAAAAAGCAATGGAGACAACTAAGTATCATACAAAGCAGAAAAAGATATTCCTACAATAACGAAGTAGTAAATAAGCTTTGTGTTTTTGTCTTATTTTGAATCTTCAACATAATAATCCACTTCAATTGCTTGAGACTTCAATAAGGTAGACTTTACTTGGAAAAGGTGATAGCTAATGGTTTCTAGCATTTTAGTAATGAAAAGTTTTAAACTGAAAGAAAAATTCAATACAAAATTAACATTGTAATTATTACACTGGAATTGGTAAACTACAAATTGGGGGTTTTATCTGTATTAACCAAATCGGCGAATTCCCATAATAATAAAGCATTTTAGTTTGCTATTAAACGATAAACTTAAATGGTCATTGCGCGAACGTACGGACAGAATGAGCTTGGGCATGTTGCCATCGCGAGCGATGACTTTGAGTCTTGACACGGCGTCTATTACCGAAGATCTCCAAGACTTTGTTTGGCCAGTATATTTCAACCCACGGCACGTCGTAACTACCGGTGGTGGATGATGAAGAGGAACGAGGACGCGATTCTGGTGTTGAGTCAGTCAAGGCTTTGTTAAGTGCTTGCAGTTACTTGGAAGAACAACCCTTTTGCACCGAAGTCCCAAACTTTTTACACGCTGCTATTAAACAATTAAATCGTAATCAGATGCCCATTTTTTTTTATACATACAAAAAAAACTGCAAAAGAATGAAGTAATAAAAAGCAGGAATCAACACAGAAACACAATTTCAAAATTATCCCTGTAATTGTTTTTTAAGAAAAAAATAATTTGTTCTTTCATTAGAAAAATTTAATTGTAAGAATAGATTAATTAATAAAAATTTATTTTTTATTTAAATGTCCAACAAGGTCATTTTGGTACATACAAAAATATCATTTCTGTCCTGAAAGATTAATGCTATTCTATAGCATCAAAATGGATATGAGTGTATCATTGTTCTAAACACTATCGAAAATTTATTTTGTTATTTAAATGTCCAACAAGGCCATTCTGATACATACAAGAATACCATTTCTGTTGTGAAAGATTAATATTATTCTGATAGCACCAAAGTGAATATGAGTATCATTGTTCTAAACACTGTTGAGGAAATTCTTCTGAGATCTGAAGAGTAACAAAGTGCTCTTGAGGTCCTGCTGAAAGAATATATTGATCAAAGTTTGTGGCTTGAACATATTCTTTTGGAGCTTGATATTTTGGTTTTAAAAGAGTTTTTAAAGATTTAGTAAGAGAAAGGGAGGAGTTTGAGGAAGTTGTATAAGGATTTACAATGGGAATAATTGTTTGTTAGGTTTTCTTTTCTTCTGGGATATAATCTACTTCATATAAGAACTTGCACTTAGAAGATGAAGACTTCTAAGTGCAGGAGAAGGAAGAGAAGACAAACTAAAAGAAGCTCCAGAAGAAAAAGGTTGAGAACTAAAATTACTGATAGTTGATAAATCCATGAAAGTAAGACTTTCTTTTGACTTTTCCTTTCGAACTTCAATAGTAAAGACTTAGAAACATATTTTCTTCTCCACTTTGGTGCTATCAAAATAGCATTAACCTTTCACAGCAGAAATAGTATTCCTGTATGTACCAAAATGGCCTTGTTGGACACAAGATTCAAAAAATACAAGCATGCAATCCTTGGCATAGTGGAGACGACGCTTAACGCAGAAACTATCTTCTTCACAATCTTCCCAAATTATAATATGTCTCTTCATGATCCAACACTATTAGATGCTTTAGAAGTTCAAGTCCAAATTGTAAGCACAAAGATGAAAGAACTCCAGGCAACCTTTCACTACTATATGGCATATAGAGTTCAAGATCATGCCATTAACTTACCTCTTTCACACTCTGGTGATGCTATTTTTGTCAAAATGGAAGCAGCAAATAAGACTCCTAGATATGTTCACATTTCAAAGTAAATTTCAATGAAGAACTTGGCACCCTTCTCCCAAAGACATTGACGATAAGTTATCAAAAGATTTGGAAGCAAGATGAATCAATTCAACACTTTGATCCAACCTACAAGACAAATCAGGATGGTACTATCACAATTGAATTTGATCACAGCAAAGGAAAAGATGTTCCTCCTCCAACAATCTTTCCAACATAATTCATGATGCAAAGCCATCAAACTGATCTTCTTGATGTTCCAGTCACACACTTTCAATCTAATGAAAATCTCGTATATACATACAGATCTCCATGAGGACATTGTTATTGGGACATAAATTGCAAATGCAAAGAATGCCAAATAGACGCATATGAAAGCTTCCTGGATGATGGTGATGATATTTCAAAGAAGTAAAATAAGAAAAAATCTTTCCAATAAAAGCTTAAAGAAAGATATGAAAATGGAGACCCTGAAGTTGATCTCCTTGGTGAATCCTCATGAAAGTTTGACTACTACGTCATCTATCCTAAAAAAGAAAAACAACTCCCTTAAACTTGCCAAAACCAAACCACACAAAAACCAGATTCCACTCGAGATTCCACCCAACCTTTACCTCAAATTTCCATGATACAACCAAACTACCTAACCTCAGATTTCTCTCTTTTTCAAAAATTTCACAAAGACTAGTACAAACACATTCCAAAAATCCCAAATCCCACTGACAGAGATGAATATGGGACTCAAAAAAATGTTTCTCGTGCTGAAGCAGTTTTAGACTTACAGACTGAAAATTTTTTCTAGCAGAATGCATACTTACACAAAATTGAACACAAGTTAGACCAAGTTAGTCATCACTTTGATCAAAGCCTTATCAATCTTCAAAATATTATTCTTGAAATTCAATCAAGGATAATAACTCTTGATCAAAAACTCAGATATATGGCTGAAACTAACATTAGATTCACTTATGCTTTCACTGAACGAGAAAAAGAAATGAAAAGCTTAAAGATTCAACTTGCAGACCTTCAAAACCAATTTCGTCAGAAACAACAACAACAACAAGCAACCTCTAGCTACAACATCTTCACACCACTCAACACTGGCATGCATGACACTCCTTATCAAGCTTATACTTTTCCTCCTTTTCAACCATACAATCCTCCAACCTCACCTCCAAAACCTTTTTTCACACATTTTCAATACAAACCTCCCCCAACATCTATCCCAACACCCTCACAACCAACACAATACTTCACCCCTATCTCAGACCAACCAGAACAACCTCCCTTTGGCACAATTGAAAAATGAATTCATAGATTTCAAGAAAAATAACTAGTTGATCCAAAACCAAAAAAAGTTGCAAAACAACCACTTTCTCAACCTTTAAAGCCCAAACCAAGCTTAAGTTTCGCACTTCAAAATCCTACACCACAACCAGACCAAAAACCTGTACAACTCATGATTTTTCTTACACAAACTCTTCTAGAAATACTTCATCAAATGGCACAAGACAGTTTCTTTCAATTTTCCTTTGAAGATATTTTTTCTTCTACTTTTGAGACTCAATCCCACATGAAAATTATCAAATCAGATGACTCAATTGATTCAGATGATACTGATGACTCATATGAGATAATGCTCCCTCGAAAATTCATGATAAAACCAACAGTTAAAGTTTCAGATGATACTCCAAAAATTCACAACCCTAATGCAATAGACACTGAACAACACCTTCTTCCACAATAATCACATGTTTTTTTTTCGACATTAAAGTTTTTAATCTTTACCATTGATGATATTCCTCTTTCAAAATGGCCCTCAAGGTTCCAAGAGTTCTTAGCATGGGGACTCGTTGAATTAAACTCACATCCCAATGTTACGATGAATACAGTATTGATCAAATTTATTTTCAAACTAGTTGAAAATCTGAAACACTTTGGGACAACATTGGTGAATACAAACAACTTCAGTTTCTTCAATATCCAACAATCACAGAAGCTGTTTCTCAATATGCAGCAATATTTTGTGAACAAGAAACTCAAAGATTGGAAAAAATCATAGAATAATTCTTTAAGCTAAAATGTTTTTCCGTCCATCCAAAAGATCTTGACAAATACTATCAATAATTCTTCCAGTATTTCTATATACTTGGTGGATTTGATGATATCAACTTAAAGTAAGCTTTTTCTCAATTTTGTTTCAGGAGAACTTACACAACAAATAAGGACCCAACTGAACCTCATATCTTTTGATGTTAGAACTATAACCTTTAGAGATATTTATAAGATGATGTTGAAAGCCCTTGACAAGATTTGTAAAGAGCACAGATACATCAAAACCTTGGTGAACAATTCTAAAAAGTTAAAAAAACCATGCTCTTACTCCTCATCAGGCCTTCAGATCAAATGTTCTTCCAAAGATCTCACATGTTTTTGCAATCACAAGAAAAAAAAAAGCATTTTAGAAGATTCAGACCTTTCAGACCTCCAATCTTTTCCAAATCCAAAAATAAAAAGCTATTCAGATACGTCGATAAGCCCAGAAGATTTCAAAGATTCAAGTTTTACTAGAAAGAAGAAAGATCCAAATATCACAAATTTAAAATATTTTCTTTATGGAAAATCAAGACATTTCGCAAAGCATTGCCCAAAGTTAGATAAAAAATCAGTCAAGATGATCCAAGACATTGCTAATATCTCTGGTATCTGTCTCTTAGATGATGATCTTGAATCAATCTTCTCCCTTAATGATGAGCAGAATGAAATATCCCTATTTATGATCAAGCAGTTTGATGATGCTGAGTTTGAATAATCAGATTACTCAGAGTACTCGGATGAATTCACAAATGATCTATGCTATGAGTATATGTCAATCTAAGAACTTCAAAAAATCTAAACCCTCAAACCTTTAAAATTACCTTTAGCTCCAGTTCAGATCTTCACTCATAAACATTTTTCTCCTATAACAATCACAACCTTTTTTGACACTGGTGCCGCTCAAACCATAGCAAACCCCCTTATCTTACCCAAAAACTTTTGGACAAAATAGAAAACCTTTTTTAAAATCGTTGATGAAAATGTATTCTCTACAACTTTATCAACAATTCTGTTACCCTTCAAATTTTCTCAGGTTGTCAAATAACTCAAAAGATTTTAAGATCTCCACTTCCCTAGAAAGACCTTGTTATTGGTTTTGATATCATAACCAGTATACCAAGTTTAAGACTTAGTGAAAAAGGTATAAAGTTTGAAAGTTATTTTAGACCTTGAAAAAACTTTCCCAACCTCTTCACCCTAACCGTTCAACCAGATATTTTTCAGGAATATAAACAAAAGTTCATTCACTTTTTCTATGTAAAAAATCATTCAAGATTTCTCTAAAAATATGACCACCCACTTTGAAAAAATCCTGAATTTTTCATTACCCTTCCCTTCAAAAAAGATGAAAATACCAGTCCCACAAAACAAGTCATTCAAGCATGAACCCAGATCATTTTAAATAGGCAATCCAAGAATGTTCACTTCTTCAGGCTCAAAGATTAATTGAACCAACCTTTTTTCCATGGGCATGTGAAGCATTTTATGTCAACAAACGATCAGAACAAGTTCGTGAAAAATTAAGATTGATGATTAATTACAAGCCTCTTAATATTTTCTTTGCAGATGATAAGTTTTCTCTTCCAGACAAAAACTTTGTTTGCAAATTTGGCAAATGCAAAAGTTTTCTCAAAGTTTGACCTCAAAGCAAGATTTTGACAATTAGGTATACATCTACAGGACAGATACAAAAAAGCATTTTGCATTTCTCAACACTATTTTCAGTGAAAAGTAATGTCTTTTGGATTAAAAATTACTCCTTCACTGTTCCAGAAAGCAATGACAAAGATATTTTGCTCCAATTCTTGATAATACCTTGATTTACATTGATGATATCTTACTATTCTCTTTAGATGTCACATCTCATACACAGCTATTGGATAAGTTTCAACAGATTATTCAACAGTATGAGATAATGCTCTCAAAGAAAAAAAATGATCATTGGTGCCTCAGATATTGATTTTTTAGGTATGCATTTAAAGGATGGACAATACATAGCTCAACCCTACATTGCTCAGACACTTATAGATTTTTCTGATGAAAATATTTCAAAGAAGCAAGTATAATAATTTTTCGATATAATCAATTACATGAGTGAATTTCTCTCAGATCTTGTACAGATAACTCATCTTCTTAGACAGATGCTCAAGAAAAAACCACCCACGTAGTCTCAGAAATAGACAAATGCAGTACAGACCTTGAAGATAAAGGTAAAATCACTTTCAACTTTAAAGATTCCTTCAAATGAAAAAAAGATACTGCAGAGAGATGCAAGTGAACAGTTTTGGTTAGCAATTCTTTTAGAAGAAAAAGATGAAACCAGACAAATCTGTGATTACAAGAGCAAAAAATTCAAAGATTCGAAACCTATTATCACTCTACACTAAAAGAGATTTTAGCTATAAAGTATGAAATTCAAATATTTAAATTTCACCTCATTAGATATCACTTTCTTGTGAAATTAGATATGTCAGCATCTGATTAGATGCTGAATTTCAAAATAAAACAGATGCCAAATGCTCAGTTACTCAGGCTATCACAATGGTTCTCACAGTACTCATTCACCACAGCACATATAAAAGGCAAAAATAACTTCATTCCAGACATGTTTACAAGACCTTCTCCAAAACCTCCTTCAAACACCTTGCAGATCATTCTAATCATTTTCATGATGAACCCAACACCCTTTTCTTCACAAGCTTCATCCTCAAAAAATCTTCTTTTCCTTTATTCTCAGAAACCTCACCTTGATGATGAATTTGATTTACCTGATGAATTTTTTAACCTTCCAATAGAAAATTTTTCTTCAGAGTTACAAAGACTTCTTACCACTCAAACTCTAGACCAAAAAATCCCACACTTTTTGCTCAAATACTAGTCCAAAATACTCAAAAAATTTGGAGACACCTCCATTCAATCTCTTAGTATACACCATGAATATCCCTTCATCCATCCCTTCAAATTCCTTGAACCACTTTGTTTCCTGAAAGAAACAGTTTGTTTTATGTGATACCTTTGTCACCTTTACTATATTACGGTAGAATTCTCACTTCCAAAGCTCAAAACTCTTCTTCACCTTTTTCAGTAGTCAACCATCAACCCTACCAAACACCAATTGGACTCCAGTCAGCAACATTTCAAGTTTTTCTTCACCTGGTTCAGACCCATTCCCATTTGGATTCAATGGATCGAAACCTATGAGAGATATATAAAAGTTTTTCTTGATCTTCATATTATTTTAATCTTTCACAGATCTCACAGTTATTTGACAAAAGAACCCCAGTACTTCCCTTATACGACAATTTATAGCTCCCATGGTTATTCACTGTTTGATTCTCTTTTTGATCACTCAGTTGAATACACTGAATTTCATAGATAAATTTATGAAATGAATCACAAAATTCTTAAGCAAAATTGGTCAGAGCTCCAAGATGAAGTTTTATGGGAAAACTATCCTTCAGAATACAACTACCAGTTCAAAATTGATAAAAAGATTTATGAAACCAGACTTGATAGTGCTTGACAGAACCTCTTTTTGAAACTACCATATTTGAACTTGATCGTGCAAGATCAGTAGAATGAAATCCTTACTGGAAACCTCCTAAAGTTCTATCACAAATGGAACGACAAGAATCCCAAGACCCTTTTGAAGATTTTGATTTAGATCAATGGTTAGAAATCATATGCTATGATTTCACACAAGAAGTAGACAACTCACATCTCAATCTCTCTCTAGAACACATTTATCGTTCTCTCAAATGATGCTCACTCATGGTGCTCTAAAAAGATTCTATGTTTCAAATTAATTATGTATAATTATGTGTGATAATTTTTAATTTTTTTAAAAATTTTTAAAAATTGATAATGATTCCTCCACGTCAAGATAATCAAGTCTTCATCAATTTTATGTCAAATCAAGTCACTTTTATATCTAATTTATCTTTAGTCAAGTCATTATAACTTTACGTCATGAGTCATTTTTACTTTATATTAAATAAATAATGAGTGATGAGTCGTAATTAATTTTATTTATAATAATTATTTTTTATTAAATGTATAAATTGATAGCTGATTTTCAAATACGTTAAAAAATATTACTTAATATTTTAATAATTTTTAAAGTTAAAATATATTTATAAAATATTATATTATACTCCAATAAAAATATTTTTAAATAACAAATTTAATTCAAAGGAGTTTAACAAGTAAACCAAGTTTGACCCGTAATCCATATAAATTAAATGCTCAATTTGATTTTCAATGTTCAAGAAGTTGCTTAAATTAGGAACTATTTTTTAATTTTAAAATGTAACAATTAAAAACTAAGATGGATAAAATATAAGATGTATATTACATGTACCGTTAATTTTTTTTTACTTGTAATTTTCAATTTACGTAAAAAATGGATTTATTTATTTAACTGATAAAATGCCTAAAAAGGAAAGAAAAAAACCCACATTGAGGTACCCTAATTATCTAAAAAAATCAGATTTGGGAGAAAAATTATTCTCACAGGGTCGTTCAGCCACATTTTATGCTGGGTCGGCCTTTATAACATCGCCGCCTCCGAGTTCTGTTTCGATGCTGGCGTTTTCACAAAGAAGATTGGCGTTGCTGTGAAGAATGATGATGCTACGAGTGACTTGAGGAGGATATTAAGGCTCGATTTGTAGCGATAGCGAAGAATCGGGACCCGTGCTAGAATTAATTTGCTGCAGTTTGCTATTCTCTCGTTTGGGTTCTCTGATCTTTGATCATCCCCTATTTTTTCAAGGGGAAAGATCGAAATAGCTAACTCAAAAAAGTAGGTTTAGTTTTAGTTTTCGTAATCAACGTTCTCTTTGCTGTATAGCTTAGCGGTGTCCAGATTTAATTATACTGGGTGTCTAGTTTTCTTTTTGTTTTTTTGTTTTTGTTTTTTAATATATAGGGTTAATTTCATTTAATAGTACTAGTAGCTCCCGCTTCGCTCGGGATCTTTTTTTTTTTTTTTCAAATATTTATAAACGGTAATATATATAGTAAAAAATTTAGATAAATGTGTAAATTTAAAATGATTAATAGTTTTTTATGTTGATATGTCTATAATTTGTTTTAAAAATCTTAAATGGTATAATAAAATATTATATATAAATATAAAAATTTATTTAAAATAATGTAAGTGTTACATTTTTATATTTGAATTAAAATAATTAAGTACAATTATTATAAATTTAATTTTTTTATTTAAAAGTTAAAAAATATGTGATATTTATATTGATATATATATATATATATAAATCTAAAGTATCATTCACGATAATTTTAAAATATTAATATGAGATTATGTTGCTAAGCTTTATATTATTTCGTTCTTAAATTTTTAATTTAGTGATTGAAGACATTTAAAGAGACACCAAAAGCTTGGATTTGAATCAGACTCCCTTTTTTCTTTTACTTGTATTAGGACTCAACCCTTTTGATATAACAAAAAAAAGCTTTATATTATTTCTTATAATTATTTTTTATTAATGTTTCATTTTTAATAAAAAAGTAAAAAAAGAAATTGATGTTGAAAATAATGAATTATTATTTTTATGATTATTTAAAATATTTTTTATTTAAATAATTAGTAAAAACTCTCTTAAACTTAATAAATTATTAAAGTTTACTTAAATTATTTTTTAACTTAAGAAAATATTTTCAAAAATGTTATTAAAAATTTTCAATATAATTTTAAATTTTGAAAAATTTTCAAATGATCATTATTATTATTAATTTTATTTTTTTATTATTTAAAATAACATGTAATATAAATAAAGATATGTAAAAAAAAGTAAAAAAAAAAAACATTTTTAATGATTTGAAAATATTTATGAAAAGTGAAATAAAATGAAGTATTTATTTTTGGATTAAGATAATTTATTTTAAATGGGCCAACCCCTTTTCATTGGTCATTACTTTTTTTTTCTAACCAACCCATTACCCAATTGAATTTTTTAATCTCTATATTTGTTATTAGTTTAAACGATGTCGTTTAACACTTGACTAAAAATACCTAAAAATACTCTAATCCAACATTAATTAAAAAAAAATTATCTTTTAAGAGGCTAATTACTTGACACTCACCAAGCAAGATATTTTGTAATTTTTTATAATTTTTCATAAAATTATTTATTAATAACTATTTTTATTAATTTTTTAAAAATTTTAAAAATTTTTTTTGTAATTTTTAACCTAAGAGCTTCTTTATCTAGAAGCTTATGAAGCTATTTTTTTTTTTTCAATTTTAAGCAATTTAATTTTCTTTGATTTTTAATTAATATAAAAAATTATTAAACATCAAATCATAAAATTATTTAAATTCTGCTAATATTTTGCAACAAAAAAATCTTGCAACAGAGATCTCTTGAGCAATTATTTTCTTTTAATTTTATAAAATTTACTTAAGGCAAAATCATGATTTTGGTTCTTTAGTTGTTTGTATTTCCTTGGTTTATTATTGGGCTATAAAATTAAATTTAAATTATTTAATAAGCATATATAAGTATTATTAATCAATAAAAAAAAGTGAGTCATATTTAGTGTGAACCTTTTAACTTAAAAAGTGTTAAGAAAATGGGGTTTGATAATGACACCTACACATTTTTTATTTTTTAATACCCGAATCCGATTTGAAAACTCGATTATAAATTGTACCCGATCTGACCCAACCCGAAATTAATAAAATATTATTTTTAAAATATAAAATATTATTTTTTAAATATAATTATATAATTATATATAATTAAAAAATTAAAAAATAATTTTTAATATAGTATCGGGTCGGATTTGCCTAAATCCCGACCTCGACCCAATCTCGATTTTTTTTTTAGTAACACCCGACCCGACTCAAAACCCGATTTTCAAAAAGAAAATCGACACTATGAGGTAGGGTTGGGTCAAAACCGTCGGGCTCGGGTTGGACTGTAAACCCTAGAACCAACCATTGATCACAACTTGTCCTATAGTCAAGCCCTTCTTACACAAACTGTTTAACTTCAGACTTCTTTTCCTTATGCGCTATGTTAAGAACATGAACCAGCAAAACGTTTTATAAAAAAATGTAAAACTATTTTTTTATTAGTTAAAAGCATTTTATTTACAAATTATATAGTATTTTAAAATATAAAAAAAAGTGAAAAAAATAAATTAAAGAGACATAAATAGGATTTATTGTGCTCAACCAAGTTTCTTTCATTGTAAAAAAATCATAATTTAAAGATAAAAAAATTATCGATATTAAAATTTAAATTTCAAATATGTCATATAAAATATCTTTAAAATAATTATAAAAATCAAGTAAATTAAATTTTGAATTTTAATTAAACTTTATTTATCTAATGCTAAAAATATTTTTATTTTTTAATATTCAAAATGACAAATATTATTTGCAATAAATTTTTTTAAATTTTTTTTCAATTTGACAAAAAGAATTGGGAGTATTAAACATTTTGTTACAAAATTATTAGTATAAAAGAAGTTAGGTTTTGTTAGTCTTGAATTGATTCTTATTTTGAAATGACAAAACGTTAAAGCTAAATAAACTTGATCAAGATTTTGAAAAAGATTTATTTAGTACATGTTTTTAAGTTTTATATTTTGATACTAAACAAATAATATGATTTTCAAAGCTTAAACAAACCTTTCTTTGTTTTCATATTTCTTAAACCAAATCTACCTTTAAAGATTATTTATTTAAGCTTAAATGAAAGTCCAATTGTTTTTTTTAAAATTGAACTTATTCATTTTGGACTTAATACAATTTTGATAATATTGGCTTTGAGAAATAAATTAACTTAAGAAAGCTGTTTTACAAGAACAATGTTTCCAACATTGAACTTGTTTTATTTTTTTTGTATTAATTCATAAAGTCTTAATGTTTAAATTTTATATGGTTAGAAAGCTCTTTGAGTCTACTTTCTAATAGATCAAACAAAATCAAAATTCAAATTTTCTAAGAAAAGATTTTTAATTTTTACTAGACATTCTGCAGTTGTTAGAAAAACTACACAATGCATAAATTTGAAAATTTACTATAATTCTTACACAGTGAATTAGGTGATGAACTTTATATGGATAGAAAGCCCTTTAAGTCTAATTTCTAAATCTTCAAACGGTTTATGATTTGGGTTTGTATAACTCAAGTTATGATCAAATTAGTAAGTAGAGTACAAAATAAAAAACTACCACCCAGCATGGACAGGATCGATCCCCTCTAGAAGGGATCGATTGGTTTTCAAACAGAATACTCCCAGAATTGAAAATCCAGAAAATGGATCGATCTCCTACAAAAGGGATTGATCGATTAGGCTATGTTTAAAGAAAAATTGGTTTAAAACATGAACCAATCAATCCCCTAAGGGAGGGGATCGATCCCCTGAAGGCCAAAATCACTCCAACGGCTATTTTATCAAGGATTCAACAGCTACTTTCACTTCCCAAACACTTCCAACGGCTATCTTTTCAATTTCTTTATAAATTGGGCACTCCAACACACCAAGAAGATTGATGAATCAAGAGAGCATGAGTCAACAAGCAATATTTTCATTCTTTCAAATAATCAAGAGTTTTTAGAGCTTCAAAGTCTATATCTTTGCATTTATTGTATCCAAATTATTTTTGTTGTTTATTCATTATTTTCTTGTCTATACCATTGTATATTTTAAATTAGCAAACACACAACCTTTGAAAGGTTCTTAGAGTTTGCAAAACATTTATAAAAAAATTTTGTATTATGTGTTTGTAACCTTAAGAGAGATGATAGCCCTTAAGAATGTGTAGTGTTGAGTTTGTAAAGCTTTGAGAAGCTTGTTTGTAATCTTAAACACATAGTGGATTGAAGTTTTGGTGTGGACAACAAAGAGAGAGGATGTAGGTACCTTGTGAAGAAAGATCAAACCTTTATAAATGATTGTGTTTGATTTCTTTATCCCTATCTTCTTATAATTTATTATTGTTCATATTTGATTTTAAGTTCATTAATTGTTATTATTTTCATTATATTTTCATCAAAAGAACTTATTGTCTTAATTTTCATTCAACTATATTGAAATCATTATTTAGGAAGAATTTGAAAAGATCTAATTCATCCCACCTATTGGATCACCATCTAACTTATAAAGCTAACAAGTTCTTTCCTCTAATTTTTTGTCAATTTGAAAAAAAAGACAACATTTAACTTAAACTACATATACTAATTTGTGTAAGTTTAAATTAAAAATATTTTAATACAATTATACATTCACTCAAACTAACTTGAGCTAACCCAATTTTCATGTAGAAAAAAGTTGAGGTTTGCAAGAGAAATCAACAATAAAATCAAAGCTTAGGGTTCAAAAGGATTTTTAATCAAGATTTAAGTGATTTTGATGAAAACAAATTCAAAAAAATTCAAAAAGAAAAAAATTCACATTGATTCCATTAGAGTAATGTAAAATATATATTTTTTGATTGAATATTTAAAAATTCAATTATAAAACGATACCATAAAATCATATTTTCATACGAAGCCAATGACAATCGCCTATAGTGGCGCATCGATAAAGTTTTCAAGTCTATTAAAAATTGAAAGCTAGTAAAACATCATGTGAAGAGGTTTCAGTCGGCAAAATCTGTTACTATAGTTTTCCTTACAAAACCAATGGTTGAGATCCTTATTCTCCAAAACCTGATGATTAAGATCACTTTCATGTCATCATTAGGAGGGAACAGAACCGAAAAATGACTGAAAGAGTAGTAGGTCAAAAGTCTACAAATGCATAATTACCTTTCATCTCTTTTTAGCTTTTTATAGATTATTTTTCAGAAAAAAAAAAACTCTCCAAAAATTTAGAATTCAAAAGCCGCTTGGTAGTGATGTATATTTTTAAAATGTTTGTGTTGTTTTGTTTTTGTT